CGGGCCCACACCCACCCCGTCCGCACGCACCGTGAGGAGGCGCTTGGCCGCACCTTCCGCGGCGCTACAGCGTCTGGGCCGCTCCCACCCGGAGCGAAGAGCATCCACCCCCGCTGAGGCTGGACAGCACCGAAACGTCTACAGCAGCACCCTGCACGTACACCGCGGGGGAGCAGCCACGAGTCACTTTACGCTATAAAAATGTGTAGGCCCAACCCCCCCCCGCCCCAAGCTCTCCTGCACGACAGTGAATCACAGAATCACAGAATGGTTTGGGTTGGAAGGGACCTTAAAGATCATCCAGTTCCAACCCCCCTGCCATGGGCAGGGACACCTTCCACTAGACCAGGTTGCTCAAAGCCTCATCCGGCCTGGCCTTGAACACTTCCAGGGATGGGGCATCCACAGCTGCTCTGGGCAACCTGTTCCAGTGCCTCACCACCTTCTCCAGGAAGAACTTCTTCCTGATATCTAATCTAAACCTCCCCGCTTTCAATTTAAACTCGTTACCCCTTGTCCTGTCACTACAGGCCCTTGTAAAAAGTCCCCCCCAGCTTCCTTGTAGCCCCTTCAGGTACTGGAAGGCTGCAATAAGGTCTCCCCGGAGCCTTCTCTTCTCCAGGCTGAACAAGCCCAACTCTCTCAGCCTGTCCCCATAGCAGAGGGGCTCCAGCCCTCTGAGCATCTTCATGGCATCCTCTGGACTCGCTCCAACCAGTCTATATGTTTCAAAAAGTAAAGCAAAAATTAGCTAAGATCAAAGCACATCCACCACCACCTCAAAATAGCAACCACTGTCCTCTGGAAATTCTGCAAGAGTTTCCTCCAGCAGACACAAGGACAAAGCACTTGCCAAAACGACTCCTGTCCTGGCATGGAAAATGCAGAAGCAGCAAATATGTCCAGTTATAAGGAAGATGGTAAAGCTTTGTAACCTAAAACCTTCACAGGAGATTTTTATTTATGTTGAAATACAGGTGATGGCTATGTTTATGCCACACTTCCCACACAAAAGGTCCATGAGCCAGTTGTTGCTGGGCTCAGCGCTGTGACCAGGAAGACCGACGTGAACGTTTGGGCCCAGGATCTTGATATTCCCTCCAACTTCATAAAACACATCAGGACCCATCCTGTGATCTGGGAACCACCTGGTACAGCACGGCTCACACCCAGAACAGCGCAGACCCACCCGGTGTTGGCAATGCTCCCTACTCCACGCTAATCCCCGTCCCCTCCAAATCCCTCCCAGGAGGTGCTTGGGAGAGCACAAGTTGGCCTGTCCCGAGACCAGGATGGACAGAGCACCCCCAGTGAAGGGGGAGACAGCCGCGTCCCTGGGTTGTCTCCCAGTACAGGCCAAGCCACTCACGCCAAAAAGCCGCAGCTGGACTCTGGACTCCTGGTGCAAGCTTCCTCTTCCTGTCCTGCTGTAGAGAATCCTGTCTCACAGCCCAGAAGAACCCATGAAGTCAAACCCACACCAACCACACTGCCATAAGTATACAGACAGCAGTTAAAAGTTGTCACTATTTATACATCTGTATATCTATAATTCTGTATACTTTTACTAGGCAATGTAACCTTTCAGGACCTTTTATGTATCAGCCACTAAGTCAGGGCTATCAAAAGTGGGATACCTGGGAAGACAGCATGAAGATGAAGAACGTGAATCTGCATCAGCAGG